CCCCCTCCTCCACCTTTGCGCCCCCACCGAATGTGGATGGCAGGCAACTCCGCGGCCCGGGACCCCGAGCCCCCCACTGACGCACCACACTGGTCCTCCTCCGAAGGCTTAGTCTCCAGGCCCTGACTCCCGTCTCCGGCGGCCGTGCGGGACGATCTCCGCCCCCCACCCCCCCTGGGGAGCGCTCTCGGCGAGGCGCAGTGCCGGAACGCATCCCGAGGCAGGAGAACCCGAGGTGTATGACGCGGAAGCCACCCTGTGGGACAGGCTCGGGGTGGTGTCGGGAGCGGCCAAGAGGGGGGTGTCCAAGAAGGGGGGGGTGCAAATCATGACCGGCGGCATGTGCGCGGCCCAGCGGGGGGGCCAGGTACGTAATGACATAAGAAGAGGCGCCATAAAATCTGGGGAAATATCATGGCCCCCGCCATGATATCCACACCTGGTCATCACCCCCCTCTTTGCCGCCCCCGACGGCGGGCATCGACTCCCCTCTGGTTGGCCCCGAGGCGCAGCTGCCGGAACGCATCCCGAGGCAGGAGCACCCGGGGCTTATGACGCGGAAGCGAGCGAGCGGACCACGCGAGCCTGCCTGTCGGCTGCTGGGCCCGGTGCAGGGCACGGGTGTACAAGTCTGCGGGACAGGAAAATGACAACAGCCACTGCTTCTTGTTTGCGCCGCCTTCCGGCCGGCCGAAAAAGAAGCAGTGGTTGTGGTCATTTCCCTGGTGCCAAGCTTAACGAACATGACCACAACCACTGCTTCGTTTCTGCTGGCTTGAAGGCGGCAACAAAAGAAAAGCAGTGGCTGTGGTCGTTGTTGCGTCACGCAAATTCTTCGACTTCCAGCCAGACAGCAGACATGAAACGTGAGCAGAATCTGGAATTGGGCATTCAGAAAACAAGCAACGGAAGGGAGGGAGGCGGGGGAAGGAGGGGGAGAAGGGGGGGGAGGAGGACGGAGGGGCAACCACCCTGTGGGACAGGCTCGGGGCGGTGGGCATCGACTCCCCTCCGGTTGGCCCCGAGGCGCGGCTGCCGCAACGCATCCCGAGGCAGGAGAACCCCCAAGAACCGACGAAGACGTCAGGAAACCCCGAATCCGCGCTGACTCGCCACACGGTGTGGCCGCCGCACCGTTCGGGGGGGCCCCCTGTAGATCTCCAGAGGCCCCCGGCGCAGAGCTCTGGAGGCCTCCGCGGTGGGGTGAGCCTTCATGGGAGCCCGTGGACCTCCGCGGCCCTATCGTCAACGTGATGTCGACCCGATGTTTCGTCCAGATTTCGACCATCCTCTTCACCCCTTCTCGGGGGCCAGCCCAGGGGGAAGTGATAAGGGGCGGGCCTTCTCAGAAGGCTCTGAAGTCCTCTGGCCTTCTGAGAAGCATTCTTTGCCTTCCCCCACGACGCAGAAAACTTCCCAGAAGGCCAGAGGGCTTCTGAGAAGCCCCGCTGCCTTCTGAGAGGGCCTCCTACTTCCCACTCACCCCCTCCTCCTCGCTCGCCGCCGACGTTCGTCCAGGTTTTTCGTCCGGATGTCGCCGCGCCGTTTGTTCTCGACGCGCCCAAGTGGACGACGACGACACCAATGCAAACCCACGCCAAAGTAGACGACGCCGGCTGAAGCCACCGCGTCCGAGGCGGCGTTTGTTTGCCCTGGTGGCCGCGGCGCCCTCCCCAAGACGCAAGGCCGAGCGTCGAAACAAACGGCGCGGCGACGGATCTCGTCCAGATGGGAACCCAATGCGACGACACCCAGCCGGGGCACGAACTCAAGCGTGATGGGACCTCCAAATAGTCTGGCGCGGTCTCAACACCCTGGCTGCGCCTACGGTTAGGTCGGGCGTGTCCCCCTACAGGCGGATTTTGGAAGACACCTGAAAAATAGTCAAAACTTTGCCCATACAGCGAAGCATACTCGGAACATCGTCCCAAGCCTAATTTTTTGTTTTGTTTGTGACTATGTTGGAGCGTTCCTCCTGTCGAGGGACATGCCCGACTTCACCCGAGCAGCCTGGCGAGGTCTCGACACCCTGGCCCCGCCCACGGCGGCGCCCCAGGGTGCCCCCGCGCGCCCAGGGCCAAGTCGGGCGTGTCCCCCGTACAGGGGGGATGTTCGACGAAACATAAAAAATACTCAAAACATGCCCCAAAATTGTCAACAAATGCTCAACAATAGTCCCCAGGCTATGTTTTGCCTATGTTTGACAATTCCCCCCGTAGAGGGACAGGCCCGACTTCAGCCCAGGGCCGAGGTGCGGAGGCCGCCCCTGGGCCTGGGGCCGCTCGGTGGGCCTGCCGGGCCCGGACGGAAGAGATGCAGCGGCGCGCTGCGTGGGCGACGCCGCCGTGGAGACGATCGGGCTCCACATCGAGGAGGAGGAGTGAGGCGGAGGAGGAGTGAGGAGGAGGAGGAGAGGAGGAGTGGGGAGGAGGAGGAGGAGGAGGAGGAGGAGGAGGAGGAGGAGGAGGAGGAGGAGGAGGAGGAGGAGGAGGAGGAGGAGGAGGAGGAAGGGCTCCCAACTTCGCGCCTCGCGCTGCGTGAAGCACGAAGCGCGAATGACTTCGCGCGCTCGCGCCGCCTCCCAGGGGAGAAGAGGAGAACGAGGAGGGATCGAAGCCGAAGCGCGAAGCGCGAGGCGCGAGCAACCTCGCGCCCTCGAGGGCGCCCTTGGTGGAGAACATCGGGCTCCACATCGAGACGCATCGGCGAGGCATCGGCAGCGACTCGGCGATGCAGCGGCGATGCGGCGCGATCCTTGGACCCGATCCACTCGGACCCCGTTTGGGAGGCAGGGCTCACGCGCAGGCGAGCCGACGGGGGGCAGGAGAGCCCAGAATCGAATTCGATAAGTCGGATCGGCGATCGAAATGAGTCGATCTGCGGAAATCAGCAGCCGAGTAGGGGAACGTCGAATCGACGGAAATCAGCAGACTAGTAATCAGGCCCCCAATAAGGAATCGGAGCCCAAATCGGAATCCCAAGTCAAATCGAATCGGAAGCGGAAACCATCAACATCGACTTGAATCGAATCAGAGGAATCGACATGAGCCCTGGGGGGGGTGGCTGTCTGTGCGCAGCCCGAAGCCTTCCCGTGATGCGCGCTCGGGCGCGGTGCCCGAGGCGAGCCTCGGCTGGGGCGCGGGCCATGCTCTTCGACCCACCCGCCGCGCCGCCGCCCGCTGCGCCGGCGCCGGGCGCGATGGTCCGGGGGGAGGCGTCTAGCGGGCTTTCGGGCAGGAGGACGAGCGTCCCCGTCAGGGCTCCAGGGGGAAGAGATCGAGGAGGAGGAGGAGGAGGCGGAGGAGGAGGAGGGTCGAGCAGACGAGTTAGATGCTCGTTCTGGGGAACTTCCTCGAGGCACTCGCTCCAGTCCTGCGCCGCTGCTGCGTCGAATGTCCGTCCACCTTGAGTCGAACTCGAGTCGAGCTAAGTCGATTCAGACAGATCCGTTAACTGGGTGCCCCCAACCCATGAAGGTCTTTCAAACGAACAGATAAGACGAACGTCGTCCCCGTCAAGGCTCCAGGAGGAAGAAGAGGAGAAGGAGGAGGAGGAGGAGGAGGAGGATGAGGAGGAGGAGGAGCGGAGAGGAGAGGAGGAAGAAGGCAGGAGGAGGAGAGGGAGGAGGAGGAGGAGAAGGAGGGGGAGGAGGAGGGGAGGAGGAGGAGGAAGAGGAGGAGGAGGAGGAGGAGGAAGGAGGAGGAGGAGGAGGAGGAGAAGAAGGAAGAGGCGGAGGAGGAGGAGGAGGAGGAGGAGGAGGAGGAGGAGGAGGAGAAGGGGAAGGAGGAGGAGGAGGAAGAGAAGGAAGAGAAGGAGGAGGAGGAAGAGGAGGAGGAGGAGGAGGAGGAGGAGGAGGAGGATGATACAGGTCTGGCGGCCGACCAGGGCGATCTGGGCACCCCTGGAGAGCTCTCGGCGAGGCCCAGCTGCTTGAAGGCATCCCCGGGCCGATCTGGATCGATCTGTGAGGGTCCTGGGGCCCGAACTTCTGCGAACACGCCTGACTCCAACAGATTGCGACGCAAGGATCTCAGAGCACTGCGAGCGAAGGCCCGCGAAAGACCCCCCCCCCGGGGGATGAGGCCGCGCAGCGCCGGGTTCGCGGCCACCACCGCCTGAGGTGGCGAGATCCGAACCCTACCCCAGCAACCACCGATTCTCCTGAACCGATGAGCGGCGCGGGTAGAGTTCGGATTTCGCCACGTGCTCGACGAATTCCGAACCCTACCCCCGCCGCCCGTCGAGTTGCCCGAATCGTTGATCGGTGAGGATACCGGGATGGGCGCGGGGGTTGCTAAGGGGATGAGGGGGTTATCAGTGGATGCAAAGGTGGGTCATCTCTGGCTTAACCTATCGTCTCAGTGGGTTACATATGCCCTAAGTGGCTTCGAGGGGCTAGCGATCCGGGCAAGGGGGCTCCGCCCACTTGGCGGAGTGATTTGCCCACTGAGTCACTCGGGGCATCTGTAGCCCACGTATAAGCTCGGCCAGATACGGTCAGGAAATTTTGGATAGCGTGTCGCGGCGGCGGCCCCAACGACACGCGGATAGCCCTGCACGCGGATCGCGTGTCGCTCCGCTCCGCGAGGCGGGAGGCTGGGAAACGCTCGGGACGCTGAAGCCCGGGGGCCGGGAAGTGGACAGCGTGTCGTGCCGAAGCGCGGTGGGCCAGAACCAGCGGAGCGGCACGCTATCCCAAGGCTCCTGAGCGTAACCCCTCTGTCCTGGTGGTTTTCGGGCCCCAGCTCGGCTCTCTGGCGGCCATTCGGGACGATTCTGGGCCCCCCTGAGCGCCCTCGACGAGGCGCAGCTGCCGGAGAGCACCCCGAGGCTGCCGAACCGCCCAGGACCGACGAGAACGTCCGAGAGCCTCGGACCTCGAACGTCGACCCCATATCGGGGGTTCGCAAACATGGATCGGAAAGAGGTGCCCTCCCCAAAATGCGGCCGGCGCCGCCTCGTACGGCGGCGGCAATCCGCGGTTTCCCATGGAAACGGGA